TTCTTTAGAAATAAATTTATTAACTTTAAACAACTGTCCCAGCAAAAAACATTGCATCTAAAAATAGTTTAATATTGATTCACCAATCTCCATATATAGAAAGTTAAATTGAAAGCCACTAACAAGTAGCAAGAGCGTTACTCTAACTAAAAGCACATGTTTCTTATCGGTAACGTGATCAGACTGTCTGTAACGCTTGTGGCCTCCGCAATAGCAAGATGGCAAAGCTGAACACAGATTTGGTTTTGGGTCTGCCAGGCCCAAGAAGCACACTCATGGTTTTGGGTCTGCTCATGATGATGAATGAACTGAAGCTTGCATAACATCTTTGTCCATTACTTCGGTGCAGGGTGAGTTCTCGAACTCAATCAGCATCTTTAAATTACTCATTTTGCTTTCAACTATGAGTTCTCGAACTCAGTCAGCATCTTTAAATTACTCATTTTGCTTTCAACTAATATGTTGCATGATCAAATACTTTAATTTCTTTCAACCTTACTTGGTGTAATATTTTTCGAAAACTATATTTTTTTTTCTTTGTATAGTTTACATATTTTCTGTATCTGATGAGAATGGTCAATAGTGCAAGTAATGTAGGGAATGGGTGTAATTTGCTGAAATAGTTTTGGGCATCATTTGTTATTTAGTTCTTTCTAAAAGATTTTTAAGTAAGAGAAATTAAGCAATATATTAGTCTTTGTTAAGAAGCAAAATATTGAATTGATGATGAAAATTAAATGTCTTATGAGTGCTCACTTTTATTTAAATTTGTAAATTTGATCAATTTAATTAAAATTTCATGATAATTTTAAATTTTGCGTAAAGTTGCTTTTATTATGTAATGGACAAAAAAAAACAAAATAAAATGGCAGAATTTTGTGTTTGGCAAGTGATTTTTATTTTATGATTTTATTTTTAATCAAATAAAGTTGGTGAGTTTAATCAATAATTTAATGCCAAGCTAATTTTTTTTTACTTAGACCGTATATTAATATATAAAGTTAACCATCATTGATGTATAAAGGAATAGTCGAGCTGTTCCGACTCAAAATAATTTGGTCAAATTAATTCGAAACTGATTGAGTTAAGCCCACACTTGTATGCTGGCAAAGCTTCTCATGAAAGCTGCCAAAAAGAATGGTAAATATTTACCTGCTTTCTATATGTAATTATCTCGAATTCAAGAAAGTGATTAAGCCGCCATCTTGTGCATCAAAAAACAATTGCTAGCAAAGTTTCTGGGTTTACCTAGCTAATCATGATTTATGAAGTTGCCGGTTGAGAATGAAGGAATGATAAACTGAAACTAGAAGATATTGGCATGCATTCTCCCCCAATCTCAAATTCATTATCAGCAATATCAAGAATATTGCCCATACTCAACTCGCCGCACAACTACCCATTGTGGAGAGCCCAAGTGCTTAAAATTATGTCAGCAAATAGATCTGGATGGCAGCAGTCGTTGCCTACCCAAATTTCTGATCTCCAAGAACGATTCCCCGACCCTCGATCCCTTCTACACCATGTGGTCTCTAGTGGATCAAAATTTGATGGCAGCACTATATTTCATTATCTCACTGGCTGCCCTCTCGTATGACTTACACCTACCCACTACGGCGGAGGTATGGAGCACAATCACAAAGCGGCAACAGCCTAACAATAAGTCTTGACTGATTCAACTCAAAAATGAGCTACATACTTTCTCCATGCACAACCTATTCATGACACAATACCTAGGGAAGATCAAGACAATCATCGACAACATTTCAACCGCCGGTGGACAACTCAAATAAGAAGGTATCATACTTTATACACTCAACGGATTTCCCAAAAATTACCAGGCCTTCAAACAGCTATCCGCACTTAATTATAATTTATGGATCTAGACAAATTTTATAACTATTGTGCAACAAAGAAATCAATCAACCAAATGATTTAAGGTCGATCAAAATCCCAATCCTCAACTAGCAATCACGGCAACTTACCAAGCCACCGCAAGTTGCCACGTTTGGTAGCAAAATGCGGCTTTCAACTACAGCTTTTAGAAAATACAATTTTGTCAAACAAAAAAAATGCAATGCGACTCCACACTGTAACCACACCGCCACCCTAAACACCCCCTAAATTCAATAGCTACCTCAACAAATTTGGTATTCAACATAATTATACATGTCGTTGCACTCATAAACAAAATGGAATTGTTGAAAAAAAGCATAGGCATCTCACTGATATTGTTTGAACTTTGTGAAATGAAGCTTCCCCTCCTACCACCATATGATCTGATACTATACTCATTGCTTGCTATTTCTTCTAAAATATAAATCCTCATATGAGATCTTATATAACAAACAAACAAACTATCATCATTTAAAAATATTTGGTCGACATTGTTTTCATTGGATCAAGCATAAACTTCAAACATAAACTTCATCCTCTTTCTGGAGAATGTGTGTTTATGGCCCTGGAAAAAATGTTACAAATGTCTAGACATTCAAACAATATATCTCTAGACATGCGCAATTTAATGAGGATGTATTTCGCTATAGAAAAAACTATGCATTTTTCATCATCACAAGCAAATTTCATAATACCTCTACCTCCACTTCTTATTCCATCTACTGAAGTTCACTCTATCACATCATTTTCTCATACGATCAGCCCTCCTGCACCCGAGTTCTTCACTTCACGGAATCCTCACTTCACAGAATCCTTCTCCATATTCAATTTAACCCACTAAACTATCATTTTCTCATAATCCCGACCAAATACCCCTCCTTCATTTATTCTTCCAAAACACCATATGCTTACGAGAACTAAAACATGTACCTTTAAAGCCTTTTAATCTTACCCATCAAACCACTATTGATCTTACAACTTACTTTATGGTTGTAAAACATGAATAGTGGAGACAAGTTATGTCATCTTAATTTCAAGCTTTAAAAGCTAAAGAGACATGGAAATTGTACCTCCCACATCTTAGCACAACATTCTTAGCTGCAGTTGGACATTCAAGGCTAAGCATAATTCATATGGGACAGTTTCAAGCTACAAGACACACTTGTTGCCAAGGGGTTCAAACAAGAAGAAGGCAAAGTTTATCTAGAAACCTTCAGTCCTGTGGCTAAAATATCAACTATGCACATCTTCCTAACTATAGCGGTCACTTTTAACTTGCATATTCTTTACTTAGATGTCTTCAATGCCTTCTTACATGGAGACCTACATGAGAATGTATATACGTCCAAGTTTCACATACCAAATCATCCATCTTATATATGTAAACTCAAGAAAGCAATCTATCTGCTTAAGAAAGCCCCTAGAAAATAGCACACTACACTCACTACATTTCTTAAGCAGTTGGATTTCAACATTAGCACAACTGAACATTCCATATACTGTTACCATAACAACAACATTCATATATATAGTGATATAAGTGGATGATATTTTACTAGATGTCAATGACTCACTCTCCATAGTTTACACAACAAATTCAAGATAAAAACACTAAGACATATTTTGATATTCCTTGGTATAAATGATGTCCACACTTCCTAAGGTTTACACCTAAATCAAAACACCTTTGCTCAACAAATTCTTCATAATTCTAGAATGACACAAGTGCTAAATATGTTCAAAATCCAACCAATTTAAGGAACTCTTCTGAGGAATCTTATCAGACTAGCTTAATTGATCCATCCTTACATCGCATATTGATTGGCTCCTTGAAGTATCTAAGTCTCATAAGGTCTGATATCACCTATGTTGTCAATCAATCAGGTCAAACCATGCATCACCCAACTAAATAAAACTTTTTGGCAGTTAAAATGTCTTCTTCGACACTTATAGGGCACCACTGACATTTGTCTACCAATAATTAGAGGGAATCTTGAACTCGAGACCCTTGATGATGCAGATTGGGCTGGTGATCCTATCAATTGGAAATGTGCAACTATTTTGTATATTCATCATATCCGCACTTAACCCATTGCCTACTAAAAAATAAGTTATCATTGTCGATTCTTCAATTGAAGCGAAATATAGAGCCCTAGCCACAATAGTGATAGAGATAGTCTAAATACGAATACAACATCGCTTTTCAATGGTAATATAAACGGCGGTTGCAAACCATTGAATCTTATCGAAAAAATAGTCATTGGTTATCTATTGGCGGGCCATCGTCGCTATCGAAAAATTGTAGAATGAAAACAATTTTGTTGCTTGTTATCATTTTGTTCATGGGTTTATTAGCGGTCGGAAACGTTTGTCGTTTTATCGATATTCTATCAAGAGAACGTCGGTTGCTCGTCATTATATTAATTGATAATATATAACCGTCATACAATAGAAGGACAAAAAATTATCGGAAAACTGTTGGGAATCCATTGAAGCACATAAAAAAAATAAAGAACCTCATTTCATTACAGTTTCAACTCCAACAATTATAACACATACAAATTCAATTATATGCTTAAATTGGTAATATTTAAGCCGAGATTAAATTTATTTAAGGGATTATTTGATTTATTACAAAAAGAGTGCACTACATTTCTTTAGTAGGAGTTTAAAAAATTAAAATATTTTGTTAGATGAATTACAAATATACGGTAAAATTAAAAGAAATCTGAAATTCATTTGCTCTTTCAATTTTAATGTTTTTAGAATTTTTTTGAATTTGGGCGAACTTCACAAACATTATTTCGTGTGAAGTCTTAGTTGTCACCGCCAACTCCTGCTACCTTGAGTCTACCACCCTTGCTGGTCATTGCTCGCCCACCGTCTACCCGCTCGCTCACCGCAGGCCACTGTCATCCACTGACATCAACCCCCACATGCTTGTTACCAACCACCACGACTGCCAGCTATCACTGCCCAACCAGAGGCTGATCACACATTTTACTACATTTGTTTCATATTAAATAAAGTAGTATTAAAATATTTGAAATATAATACTCTAATAATTTTTCAGCAAATAAAAAAGCCGCTAAAACGATTAAAAATCGCACAAAATTGCCGGCCTTCCCGATCGGATAATCCGGTTCGATTCGGAGCCCGAGTTGTTTTCAACGATGCACAATCCATATTGGAGAATCGGCTTGTTATACATTCCCGGGAAGAAATAAATTATTTTCGGACAAAGTGGAAGTCGTCTCCCTGCTCATCAGTCGCTCCACCGTCCTCGTGAGCTTCGTCTTAATCTTTCCGGCCACTCAATGGTGAGTGCTTATGCTTCTCCTGCCTTAACTTTTTTATTTTTTTTGTGTCTTGAAGAATGATTCTTGAATTTTGAAGAAGCAGAGCAGGCCTTCTAATCTCTTTTGATCTATTGAGTATTTTTAGATCTATGAATGTGTAGATACTTCAAGAAAATGTATTTCGATCTCTCTCTCTCTCACTCTCTCTCACTCTCTCACTCACTCTCGCGCGCGCACAGATCTGTACTTATATTTGTCTTTTGTTACTGGAGACAGTGAATTTTAATTTGTAATCGTGAAGTAGTAGCTAAAAAATTATAAATTAGTTAAAAATTTTATTTCTTGATGATTACTCTTGTTACCGCTGATTATATCCACTGAAAAGAAATTTAATGCTATTAACACTTTCATCACATTCAAATTTATGGTAGAAAAGCAGTTTCAAACACCTTTAAAAATTCTCATAACAGATGGAGGTGAGGAATATGTCAATAACAATCTGGACATCTATCAGAAAAAATTAATGGATTCAATATCAACGCAGCTGCCCATACACACCCGAGCAAAACAGAGTCACAGAAGGATAGACATGTATTGGAGATGTTTAGGGCTCTCATGCAAACCGCAACTTTACCTTCCATTTTGTGGCCTGACATAGTTCAAACCGTGGCTTATCTAAGCCACCTTCTCCCCTCACCAAATTCCGGCAGCAAACCTCCATTTTAGTTGCTACATCAAAAACCACTCTAGTTTCCCCATGCCTCAACTCACCTCACCGAAACCCAGACCTCTTAACTACATCAATTCATATAAAAACTCTTATTATCCTCCTACCCCTCCTTTTTAATATAGCCCTTTGAGCCAACATTCCAAACCGAACACTCACAACATCCGCACCATGCTCACCTGGGATAAAACTAGCTACTTAAAGCCTAAAGCCATATTCGACTTGCAACATACTCTTACAGGTACCCCCATGGGCCCAAACTCCTATCATGAGACTACAAAACACATACATTGGAACAAAGCCATGTTTGAGGAATTTGATTCCCTCATATCCCAAGGAACTTGGGTTTTAGTCCCTTTGTCGCCATCACAAAACATCCTTGCTGTAAATAGAACTATAAGATAAAGCGAAATTCAGATGGGACCATTCTCTGTCACAAGGCAAGATTCATTACACTGGATTACAAACAACAAAATGGTATTGATTATGATCAAACATATAGCCCAGTTGCCAAACTTTTCCCCATCCAACCCTTCTCACCATGACCATCTCAAAACAATGGGAAATAATTCAGCTCGACATATCTAATACCTTCCTCAACAATCCGCTCCACGAGACGGTCTTCATGTCGCAACCTACTGGCTTCGAAGATTCCAACAAACCAACCCATGTCTGTCTTCTGAAGAAAGCCCACCATGGCCTCAAGCAATATCCAAGACAATGACACTCTACTCTCACCTCCACCTTACAATCTCCCGACTTTCAACTAAGCCATGTCGATCCCTTCCTCATGGTCTCTACCGAATCCAACCCGGAAAGCTAAATTTTGATAGATGTTGACGTTATCGCAATTGCAGGGAGAAACTCCAACTTTCTGGTTGATATTATGAATCAACTACACCATCATTTTCAAGTAAAACTATCTCAGTAAGTCATGTACCTTCCTCGGTATCCATATAGATCACACCTTCAACGGATTATATCTCCTCCGTCCAAATATACCAAATACATTTTAACAAAGAACCAAACACATTGGCAAGCCGATTAAAATTCTCATTTCTGTTGTGGTATATATGAAATTTAAAATGATCGACTACGAAGCGAAAAATAGAACGAGAAAATTTACACCAATAGAAAACACAGATTTACGTGGTTCGGCGAATTGCCTACATCAACAGAGTTGCAGAGGATTTTACTAATTGAGGAACTTACATCGTTTGATCACAACGACAATTACAGGGTCTCTCACTTGCTCTCTTCCTCTTTACACCGAGATTCACCCAATATCAAGAACACCGATGAAGAAGAAGAAGAAGAAGAAGAACGTACAAGAGAAAAAACCTATTTCTCTTTTGCCTCAAGCCAACAAGAAGAAATCAAGAAGAACAATTTTCTTCTTCTACCATCTTCTTCTTTCCCAAGCCAACAAGAAGAAATCAAGAACAATTTTCTTCTTCTACCATCTTCTTCTTTCTTCTGCCAAGCACGCAAAACAATACCTTGCAAAAACACCTGCCGATGAGGAATATCAAGGGAGTGACAATTCCTCCCTCTCGATCGAACCACCAGACTTTCAGCAAAGTTGCATAGAGGGAGCTAGCTTTTTGTTTACGCGAGCGAGAGATGGAGACTAAGAGACGAAGATAGGAACACTCGAGCACAGCACCTTTCCTGTTTTTTTCGTGAACTGAAGGAGACAGGAGCAGTTAGCGCCAATCGCGAAAGGAAGGTGGGAGCAAGCGGGAGCGGAAGTAGTTACTGCAGTAGTTTTTTTTTTCTCGTTTTGACGGGCTCCACTTCAACAATTTCCACTAATGTCACACCGGCTACCATCGACAAAGAACTATATGACAAGTATAAACTTTACAAACAGCTCGTCGGCTCACTCCAATATGCTATTCTTATCCCACCCAACGTAACTTTTTCAGTCAAAAAATTATATCAACATCTTTATCAACCTCTCAACAAACATTTCATTCAGCTGAAACAGCTACTACGATATATAAAAAGATCTAGCAACAAAGGTTTACCAATATACCGCGGAATCTTACTACTCCAAGCATTTTCCGACACCGACTGGGCAAGAGACCAGACCGATCGCAAATCCACTATCGGGTATTGTGCCTTTCTTGGGACAACTCTCATCTTCTGGTGTACCAAGAAACAAACTATTGTAGCCCGCTCCTCCATAGAAGCAGAATACCGAGTGTTATCCACTGCAGCAGTCGACACTATCTGGTTAAGAAAACTTCTTGAGGACTTTAAAATCTCCGTTATAGAACCAACACCACTCTACTGCAATAATATTTCAGCTCTAGTTCTCGCTAATAACCTAATTTTTCACGCAAGAACCAAACACATTGGGATCGGTGTTTACTTCATTCAGGATTGCATCACCAACAAACATATCACAATTAATCACCTATTGACCATGGATCAACTAGCAGACATTTTTACTGAAACTCTCAGCTCCAAAGGATTCAACAACCTATAGAACAAGCTGATACTTCCTCCATGAACTATCAACTTGAGGGGCAGTATAATTATTAGGTTCTTAAAGCTTGTTTCTGTCTTTTGTTTCTGGCCTTTTGTTTGGCTCAACCGGTTCATGTGTGTATTTAAATAGGATCTCTGTATTGGTGTTTGTGTGTATTATATAATAAGATTGGCTGAGCTCCCTTTTACTTGTTCTAATTTCTCTCCTGCACTCTCCTTCTTCTTCACATCTTCTTTTGCTTCTTGGGTACAGCAACCTGCTGCTTACGGCACTCCATCTTCTTCCTGTGGTACTTTGGCTTAGCATATGGGAAATCAAAAGAGGGGAGAGGATATATCTATAAGAAAAGGCTGACTGTGTTCAAGAGTTCTAAGCTAACAATACTGTATTCGATATTGTTCATATAATGCTTGTTGTTGTTATTTTTTTTACATAATAAAATAAATTTGATGAAAATTTTAAGTGCTCATCATATAAATGAACGAAGATGAAAATTTTAAGTGCTCATCATATAAATGAACGGGTTTGAAAATTGATTCGATTCTTTGTTTATGTTTGAGTACATGATCGTTTGTTGTTTACCCATTAGTTCTCTAAGATCTAAATAATTTGATCAGGGAATGATGGCTTAATTTTTTGTTTAAGGATACTTTCGTTAATTTTTTTTTTTCTAGTTTTCATGTATCTTATGTATTTTAAAAATTATGTATATTATTAGAGGCATATGTACAATGAAAATTTCTAATAAATAGTTAGATAAATAAATTACGACCTTTTTTTAGTAATAGTGAATTTCATTAAAAAACTTGAGTAAGCCCTATTGAATTTTTTCTTTTGTTTAAATCTATAAATGCAGTAATACTTAACAATTTTTTGATGCGTAATGCCATGCGCTAGGGGTTGTTTTTTGCTTTAATGTGTAAAGCAAAGCAACTCTTTTATTAACTATAGCGCTCATAACTTAAATGTATCATGTATATAAACTGCACCAACTAATACTTTTCAATGAATACATGATGTACTAACAATTATGAAAGTTGGAGTATTTAATAAAAAAAAAAGTGATAGACAGCTAAATTGAAGACAAACTTCAAATGTAAACTTGGAAATTGAAAATTCTAACAATTTGAATTATGTTTATGAATTAGGAAGTGATTAAAAGCTCATTCTAATGTAACAGTTTGATAAACACTTAAAAATGGCAAAAACGTATATTTAATTCATAGCTAAAGGTAAATTTAAATGCATAATATCTCAAGCTTTATAAATCAAGTTGAAGAAATTTCATTGGTCCTCATCCTCTCTTTCTTTAACATATTCCTTTTTTCTTTCAAGTATAATCTCATCTTCTCTTCCTTAAATAACAGAATTGCATGTAGAATTTGTCTCTTCATTCGATTGCAAAAGTTATTGGGTTGTTGTAGGTAAAAAACTAAAATTAGTACCTTTTAGAGTTAAGTCCCTGATATACACAAGAATTTGAGAATTAATGAGGCAACCTTTTCCATTTAGGTTATTTTGTTATGATTTCTTATTAGGATTTGCCTCAATATATTTCTACTAAAGGGCAAGCTTTCAAATAAATAAATACTTATCTATGTTTATTTTTATAGATAAGAATTGGTTCAAATTTTTTGCTTTATTTAATCAATATTTTGTTGTGCATTTCCACTACCTGTGCTTATGTTGCTTATGGGAGATTGTTTCTTAATTTACTATATTTAGATATATTTTTTCCTTTCTAATTTCATAATATATGTAATGCATACATAATGATGTTCTCTACAGTCGACCACCTTAGATGAAGAATCCATCAACCAACCTAGTTTAGGTGACAACATTCTGCAAGAGCAGAGTCTCTCAACCCATGAGTTGAATAACGCTGGTTAGTACACTCCTGAACTAATCGGTTTGATCTCTTAATCACAACTTTCTCAAGGCCTATTTGATATCTTGCTGTTAAAAAACATATTTTTGAATGTGAAAACAGAATCATTATAATTGAATGATTTTTAATCACATCCAAAAAAAAAAAATGTATTCCAACAAATATCACTTTTTTCTTAAAAATCAAATTTTCTAGTTATCAGCAATCAAATATCTGAGCAAAGAAACATTAGTTAGAAGCCAAGTAATTTCAAGTATAAAAGAAGGATTTTTTTTTCTTTGAATCAGAGCATGCGGTTTCTAACTGTTCATTCAGAGCTCAAGTACCCTGCAGATTAACGTTCGGCGCCGAAATCTTACCGCTTTTGGGGAATCCATACTTCATTTCAATCATGGCAAAGTCCCATGTTCAATTGCCATATCAACTGGTAAATAACCATTTTAGCGTTACCCTGTACTGTAAATATCATTCTTTTGGTGTTAGATATGTAAATCTATAACAATTTTGTGGTACGTTTTTAAATCTCTCATTTTTTCTTAATTTTTCATTGTGAACAAACTACTAGGTAGTCCCAACTAGTTTCCGCGATGCTCTTCCAAGTGCTACTGTTAAGGGAGTCCTTGCATGTCGGGGTAAGATTTGGGAAATAAGATACTGTGGTGACTGCACCTTGAAGAGATTTGGTGTTGGATGGCGTAAGTTTGTGGAGGACAACGAATTGCGAGTGGGAGATGGATGTGTTTTTGAGCTTATGGATGATAAGGAGCTGAGGTTCCGGGTGCAGATTCTAGATGGACAAATCCCCACCAAGATTTTCAAAAGAGGAAGCTTGGAGCGGCCAATCAATATTGATTAATTAAGGTGTCCTGAGGTTTCGGAGTAACGCACAAGCCATGATTGCTGCTGTTCTGTATGCTATATTTGAATTGGTTTAGTTTAAAGATTTATGGAAGGGAGACAAAACTGTATACTTGATATGATTTGAAACTTCATTCCATTGGAATTATTTGGAATAAGAGATGTGATTGTGTTTTGTTCTTTTAAAGTTCTTAGGAGGATGTTTTATTTTGTTGTGTGGGATGACTTTTGGATCTTAAACTCAATTGCGCGTAGCTTCTCCTTGTAGTATTTTTCATTTCAGCTTAAAACTTGGGATGGCCACGGTGCAAACCCGGCAGTCTATTAAAATAAAATAAAATAAAACAAAAAAAGCAGAATGCAGCTCAATTATGCCCACGTTTTGTGAATTGAATTATGTTGAGCTTGAATCAAACTAATTTATGACATGTTTAGTGCAATCTAAATTATGATAGATTTTGCTGGTGGATCTTCAATTTCGGAGGCCATCACAAAATTTTGCCACGGGGACTGCCCCTTTTGATATGGATTGTCTGTGCGTGTAAAGAAATTATTATGTGTGGAGTCCGCACATACCAAATAGACAACAAATGAGGGTGTTGTGGTATATTTAAAATAGAATAGAACGATCGACGACGAAGTGAAAAATAGAACGGGAAAAATTCACACCAAAAGAACACAGATTTATGTGGTTTGGCAAATTGCTTACATCCACGGAGTTGCAGAGGATTTTACTAATTGAGGAATTTACACTGTTTGATCACGTCGACGATTACAATATCTCTCACTTGCTCTCTCTCTCTTTACACCGAGATTCACCCAAGTATAAGAACACCAAAGAAGAAGAAATACGTACAAGAGAAAAAATCTATTTCTCTTCTGCCACAAGCCACAATAAGAAATCAAGAAGAGCAACCTTCTTCTTCCACTATCTTCTTTTTCCTTATGCCAAGCATAAAAAAACAACAACTTGCAAAAACACCTGCCGATGAGAAATATCAAGGGAGTGACGATTCCTCCCTCTCGATCCAACAACCAGACTTCCAACAAAGTCGCGCAGAGGGAGCAAGGCTTCTATTTCGCTAGCGAGAGACGGAGACTGAAGCACTCAAGCACAACAACTTTCCTATTTTTCGCAAACTGAAGGAGTTAGCGCCAATAGAGAAAAAAGAAGGTGGGAGCGAGCGGGAGCGGTAGTAGTTACGACAACTTTTTTTTTT